CCAAGTGTTTCCTCCTCCTTCTCCCTTGGTTCCGTGGCCTCTCCAGTGGCCTGACATAAGACTCTGGGCTACAGCCCTAATAGCTATCTTCATAAAAGTAGCCATTGCCTTCCAGAAAGTCCAAAACAGACACCAAAATGGGGCATACCTCAGTATAAGAAAATCAAATGGAAATACCGAAGTGAAAACTTGTAGACAGCAAAGTGATTTTTACCAAGCCCTATGCAAGATTAATTTGGCATCAGGCAGAGTCTCTGGGATTAGGTAAAGGCTGTCCCTGCTCAGCACCCACATTCTTCCTGCAGGGCCCCAGCCCAGGCTGGCATGGCCCCTCCCAAGGGATTCAGAAAAAACCGGAGCAGACTGGGCTCATTGGAACGGGATTGTAGAAAGACTGCTAGGCTGGAGTCAGTAAACCCTGGTCCAGTTTGGCGCTGCTCTAGTTTTTCTGTCTATAAAGTGGACAAAATTCTTCACTTCCAAGCTTATCTCATAGGGATAGGGAGCCTGCAGTACAGACACAGCCTGCCTCTCCAGCTTCAGGAAGCTAGGACAGGTCATCACAGCTCGTGTGGTGGCCAGCAGACAAGGCCTCTGTGTCCTGAGGCCCCTCACAGAGAACTACTGGGAAAGGCACCACCAAAGAGGCAGCATGTTCCAGCTGCTGGACCATCTTGGCACAGGCTGGCGGGAGTGGGGGATCTGCTGATCCTAGCCTGAGGGCAAATAAATCATCATCATGATCATGATCATCATCATCATCATCATCATCATCATCATGCTGGACGGCTGCGGTGGCTCATTCCTGTAATCTCAGCACTTTGGGAGGCCAAGGTGGGTGGATCACCTGAGGTCAGGAGTTTGAGACTAGCCTGGCCAACATGGCAAAACCCAGTCTCTACTAAAAATATAAAAATTAGCTGGGTGTGGTGGCACATGCCTGTAGTCCCAGCTACTCGGGAGGCTGAGGCAGGAGAATTGCTTGAACCCGGGAGGCGGAGGTTACAGTGAGCCGAGATCGCATCATTGCACTCCAGCCTGGGTGACAGCGAGATTCTGTCTCAAATAGTAATAATAATAATAATAATAATAATAATAATAATAATAATGATGATGCTACTGGTTCTTGAAAGCCCATTCTGGAAGGCACTTCTTATGCTGTGTCTCATTAAATGATCTCAGTAAGGGTGTGGAGTAGCTACTGACAGGACACCCCCACCCCACCTGCCAGACCCTCCTTTTAGTAAATCTTAGCACAATGGAGGGGGCAAGAAGACCAAGATGGAGAAACTGGGTGTGATCTCCTAAACCACATCAGAGATCCACGCCCACTATGCTGTGCACACACCGGGAAGGGAATCCTGCTGCAGGACAGGGACCAGGCCCTGCTCCCGACAGTGGCACCCCTCCCCTGGCTATCGCTGCAGGGCCCCTGGTGCTGAGGACTGATCTTTTCATCCCAGACTTGCTCCCTGGTACAGTCCTACCCAACCCTGGCCCACCAGTACCTCATGAATGAGTCGTGTCTGCCCATCCACCCTTTTCTACCCCAGGATGAGACCTGGAAGCCGACCAAGTTCGTCTTTCAATCATCCATCCATTTCTTCAATAAACCTTGAAACTTCTTATGTTGTCACAGCCCCCTCCCTAGAGCCCCTCGCCTGTTCAGTGGCACCCACTGCCCTCCTCTGCCTTCTCTGCTCTCAGGAAAGAGGTTGATAAACCCATTCGCACTGATAGCAGCTTAATGTGTCTTCTCTCCCAGGAATATTAGCAATTTAACAGGGAACAGAGAAGAAGCAGAATGTTGGGATTCCAGCATCGACCAGGGATGTCCCTGAGATCCCACAACATAGACTGCCTGTCAGCTGCCTACTCCCTAGCCTGGCCTCCCCTGCCAAGCTGCTGGCATTGTGTCCTCTCGGCATCCACCTCCATCTGCATGGGCACCCAGCCCCCACCCCCACCCAGACAGCAGGCTCACAGCTGGGACCTCCCCACTGCAGCTCAGTTCCTGGCTGTCTGGAGCCCCCCTGTGCCAGCACCAGCCATGCCTGCTTCCCAGGCACCCCCCTCAGCCTGCCCACCATCTGGGGATCAGGCCCAGGGGCTAAGGAGGGAGGCAGAGGAAAGCAGAGGTGAGAGCCTTTCCATTCTCTTTATTCCCCCACAGTCTGGCCCACACCCCCTGCCAGGAGCCGAGATCCAACGGTATATTCAGCCTGCAGCTGCCACTGGTCATGTGAGCCCATTGCTAGGTTACAGGGACCCAAAAATAAATCTTTCCCAACCAGATTAGAAACTGGGGGCCTCGGATGAACCAGGCTCAAAAAAGCGGCAGGAACACCCACAGTGCATGTTTAGTCCAGGCCTGCTACGGGCCAGGGGCCTTCCCATGCTGCCCACCTCCTGTCCATCAGCAGGGGCTTCAATGCTGGAACCCCACAGAAAAGGCCCAGAGAGCTCCTGGGTCTCCTGTTTATTAATAACACAATAAACAGGTCTACAGGCTGAGTGGCCCTTCCTCACCGGCAATCAGGGTAATACCCTCTGCACGTTCTTCCTATCATCAGCCTATCCCTCCACAGGCCCTGCCCCACACCCAGTGCATGAGCAAAGCAGCATTAGTCATTTGCCCTGTGGCCTGGGGGCGATCCGTCCTAACAATCCTTTTCTAGACATGGGAAGGGAGCACTGGCCGTAGGCACAGCACCAGGCGTATTCGTGTGAGTCTTACGCAGTCTTTTGTGTTTGTCTCAATAATTCCATTTACGGATATGGAAACTGGGGCTTAGAGAGGTTAAGTGACTTTCTCAGAGCCACACAGTTAACAATTGGGGTTCAAACCCCAGGTCTATACTATGAGGATGAGACAAGGAAGAAGACAGGGAAACACAGTTAAGGAAAGGGGAGTCCCCAGAAACCCTTCCCTGGGGCCTGAAAACTTGGCATGTTAGTTGCTCTGAGTTAGAGGGGTATTATCTCCCCCTGGAACTTTTTAAACTTCCTCCAATCCAGGACACAGCTTACCCAGACCACAGGCCTCCTTCCCATGGCTTTGGGCTCTGTCCCCTTCTCTGGGAAACACTGTCCAGGACCTGGGTGTGGTCATCTCCGGTGCTGAGACCTGGGAGGCAGACACAGATCCCCCCTGCTCAGCAGAGACCTGCTTCAGAAGCTCGACATGGAGCCAGAGTAGCAGAGCTGAAAGGATCACAGGAGACCTGGTGTCTAACTCCTGATTTACAGATGAACAGGCCCAGAGTGGAGAGGTAACTTGCCAGGGTGAGGCTACACAGCTAGACGGTGAAGGAGGTGCAGCCAGAACCCAAGCCTCCAGAGTCCTGCTCCTTTTTCAGCCTGTCATTAGCGGTGCACAGTTGGGTTCCTGGGGCCCTTCCTCAATCCATCATATCCCCAGAACCTCCCAGCTATCTGTTTTCTTCAGCTCCTCCTCCCCAGTAAGGTTCTGAGAAGGCCCAGACGCCCCACTTACCTCTGTACTGTCCTTGTCTCCCCATTTTGAGCACATTTCTATAGTCTCCTGGAGCCTGGGAGCAACCCATTCCCACCTCCTTCAGCTCCTAGCTGCCCATACTGCAGGCTTTTTGTCACTCAATTCAAGACATGTTTGTTGAGCAACTACTATATGCAAAGCTCTGTATAGGAAGTGAGGGAGAGGGATACAAAGATGAAACAAATACAAACTTGCCCTCTTGGTACTTCTGTCTAGGATGGGGACATGCAGGTTGTAAGGGTCAAGGGATGGTGAAACTGCTGGGGAGAGTCAAAGGAAAAAGTGAACTACTCCCTTAGAAAATCTAGGAAGACTTCATGAAGGAAGTGGCATGGGTCTTAAAGGAGGAGTAGGATTTTAACTAGGAGTAATTGAAGGCGGTTGAGGAGGACAGTAATCTAGATGGAAAATGAAGGCCTACCAAAAACATGGAAACAGCAAGTTTAGGAAATATTAGGGCACTGTGAGTTCTCCAATTTGACCAAAAAATAATCTGGACATAGGGTAGAAGTGAGAAGAGAAAGGTAGATTTGCGAGACTGCGGCCCTTGCAAGCCAGGCTGAGAAGTCAACATAGCAAAATGTTTTGAGGGTAGAAACATAAGGCCACAGATGTGCCCATTTCTCTTTTTTTTTTGAGATAGAGTCTCTTTCTGTGACCCAGGCTGGAGTGTGTAGTGGCGCAAACATAACTCACTGCAGTCTTGAACTCCCATGCTTAAGTGATCCCACTGTGTCAGCCTCCCTAGTAGCTGGGACCGCAGGTGTGCCAGCACAGCCGCTAACTCTTTATTTTTTATAGAGATGGGAGTCTTGCCATGTTGCCCAGGCTGGTCTCGAAATCCCGGGCTTGAGGAATCCTCCCACCTTGTACTCCCAAAATGCTGGGATTCCAGGCCCAGTCTGCTGACTTTCGGTGGGTCCTTTGATAAGCCTTTACTGAACCTACAAGTTCCAGAGCAAGCAGCCGAATCAGAGATGAGGGATTTTCCTTGTCATTCAGGCCCAGAGGGAGAAATGAAAATACATATAGACCATCAAGGAGATGGTGCATGTCAATGTGTGACAGAGTGCCCTCTGAAGAAAGGGAGGTCACAGATGAAGTGCTACGGAGATCAAATGACTCTCATGTTTCCCAGGTGGGGCTCTGAGGAGCTCTGGCCCAGGTATTTATAAGTGACCTGTGTGTCCATTCTTTTTGGAGAGGAGGGGAAAGGGTGGAGTGGTAATTTGAGTGCCTGGAAATTCTCCCTATAGAGTCATGATGGCATAAGAAGCTGTCCAGCCTGTCCTGAGGGACATGGCATCTGGACTATCGGCTGGTCCTTCCAGCCTGGAACGCCCAGCTAGAGACATACTTCTTTAGCCCTGGCCTGAAAACAATTAGCTGGGCTGGGTTTCCCAAATACCCACGGAGCACTCACTGCAGTGCCTGGTCTCTGACTCTGCGGGGCGCCCCTGCTCTATCTCTGGGGCAGTCGCCCCAATCTCATCCACAGCCAAGCCAACCCCTGCGGAGCCCTAAGGCAGCCTGACTCTTCCCTGTCCAGGCTGGACACCACCAGGCATGATGATACTGGTCCTATGACCTCTTTCCCAGCCATTCTCCTTCCCTCCAAAGTCCTCTCCCGGCATTCCTGCCCCACCTAAAAACAGCACCGCCCCCTCCTCCGACTCTTATGCCCAATGGTCCAAGGGAGGGCCAGACTTCCAGACGCAGAACTCTCAGGGACTCCTTGAGGGTGCAGAGATGGCTTGTGAGTGACCCCTAGGTTTGTGGGGGCCGGGGAGGTGGTCAGCCCTCACCCACATGCCTGGGGACCGTACTGCAGAACGGCATGTGGAAGCTCAGTCTCCTGGGTGGCCTCCCCTGAAGGGGTATCCCTGGAGGATCTAAATCAGCCTCGCACTGCAGCAGCGGTTCCTAGAGAGAAGTTCTGGGTGGGAGAAAGGACTGAAGCCGCTCCATTTCCGGCCCCTAGACTGCCCTGACAGCCAGCAGCCACAGGGGGGCAGTGTTGACCACAGAGCTGCAAAGAGGTGACTGCAGTCCCTGGTAACAGGCTTCTCCCCGCCCAACCGCTCCCTCCGGGCCTTCTTCCTGGGGGCCGTGGTCCTGGGGGCCCTAACCTTTAACACCATCACAGTCGGCTGGGAGGGCCATGGCTCCTTAGAGAAAATCCCTCCTACTCCTAAGAGCTTGTGAGGCAGAGATGGGCAGACTGGTGTCGCAGAAGGAGGCCTGAACCCGCGGTCAGCGGGCACCCGCGTTAAGGGGGCAGAACGCTTTGGGCTGCTCTCCCGGCGTTTCGGAGCCCCCGCTTCCAATGAGGGATTGGGTCAGGATTCTAGGCGTTCTCTAAGGTCCTTTTCCAGCCTAGAATTCGAGCGTCTGAGGCAGCAGCTGCTGTCCTTGAGTGGCTTCTCTCTCCAGGCCCCTGACAGCTTCAGAAGCTCAGCCTGGGTGGGTGAAGGGACGCGGGAACCAGCAGCAGGCATTTCTGATCTCTACAAACCAGGCCATTCTTCTGGAAACCACAGTCATGAAGAGGTGCGGTCCTAGGACTGGGAAGAGGCTGACAAAGGGATGACCAGGGCCGGCTGGATCCCAGGAAGACCCCTCTAAGGGGCTCCATCTGATTGATTTGTGTGACTGTGGGAATGGCAGGATGGCTGGAGGCTGGCTGAAGAATGTCCCATCCCAGTCCCTGGAGCTATGTCGAGCTTCCCTGAAGTAGAAGCTGCAGAAGGCCTAGAGGTTCCTCCCTTCCAGGCCTCCTTACTCCCAGATCCCCACAACAGTCACCGTCTCTCCTCCCCACGTTGCCGACACCTGCGCCCAGCTCTCTGCCTGAATGGAGCCTCCACCTGCAGGGAGCAGAGCCCACAGCCACAGTTCTAGAAGGGGGATCCTTGCTAGAACTGAAGGTGGGGATCCTTGCTAGAACTGAAGGTGGCCTTCCTATCCTTAGCCTGCCCCGCCCAGCCCTGTCCCTCCAGACCAGCCTCTGCTTACACCCATATGGCTGCTCCTGTGCCTCTCAGACGTTCTCTCCCCACTCCTGTAACTTCACACCAGACCTCGGACATTGTGTGTCCAGCACCTCTGCTTCCCTGATCAGGCATCTGATCCAGCACCTGGGGCCTGACCCCCACAAGCATAGGGTGCGTCCTGGTTCTTCCATCTCATCTCCTCCTTCTTCCTTGATGCCCCCATTTTCTCACTTTCCCTATCTCCCTTATTTGGTTTCTCTTTGATCTGTCCTCTGCTCTCTGCATCCTATTCTCAGAACTCTCTGAGTCCTGGAGCCTCTTGGCCATGGGCCTCTGCTCCCTGACCTCTCTGTTTCTTTGCCTCAATGTACACCTTTCCCCCTTCCCTTCCCATCTCTCTCTCCACCCTCACTTCCTCCTCTGCAGTGCTTACACTGAGTATCTGATCCATCTCTCCCTGGACTGAGGGTATAAATAGCAGAGGGAGGCTGGGCTAGAAGCCAATTTTGCTACCAGCCTCTTCCTTGCAGCCCTGGGCTTGGGCATTCAGGATCAGTAGTAGGAAGGGTCCTGGGCAGGGTCTCAGGGGTAGGGAGTTGGAGGGTTGCCATGGAAGGCCACTGCATGAGTGACTGACCCAGGCAGAGTGAGGGGTCCCACCACAAACTGGGGGAGTCCTGAGCTTCACGCACAGGCTAGGCTCCCCACCTAACATGGGTATGAAATCGCTACTTTGCTGCTGGAGAAGGAGCTCTGGATCAAAAGACCCTCCCAAGCGCCGCTGGAGGGCCCTGCCTGCTCTGCAGGGGCCTAGATGCCTGGGCCCAGGTGGCTGCCAGCAGACAGCAGCTGGGGACTGGAGCAGAAGTGGTGCCCTCAGGAAACAGGCCGCACTCTTGCTCCAGCCAGCTCCCCGGCCTAATTAGAGACCGGAACGGCATTGATCGTCCCTGAGCTCATTATGTCACAGCTGGGGAACAGCTGGCCAGTTTTTTCCAGGCCATTAGCTGCGCCATGAAGTGGAGAGTGTTGGGGGAAGGGGGGCGGCGTTTGAGCAGGATCAATACCCCGTCTGTCTGGGGGAAAGCAGCCCGGTGGCTGCCTCCTCTGGCACTCTGGCTGTGCTTCCCTCCAGTGCTACTTCACTAGCTGAGCTCCTTGGAGTTCACACACAAAAGCTCCACTCCTTCGATCCTGGATCCTGGAGAGATGGACTCATGGCTTCTGGGCTGGCCCTGACCTGGCTGGAGGGGACCCTTGGAGCCTTCCCTTAGAGGATTAAGAAGGGCAGGAAAGAGGCTCAGATTACCTAACTGGTCTCAGTGGGGACCTCAAAAGTGCAGCTCATCTCCACCCCCACAGCAAGATGACACCTAAGGCAGCTGTTTCTGTTGGCCCTGGGCCCACCTCTCTGTGCCCCTGGGCTCTGCCGGGTCTGGTTTCCTGTGGGGTGGAGAGATGGCAGGGGATCCTCGGGCCCTTAGGGAATGAGGGGTACTGGAAGGAGGGAGGGAAGAGACAATAGTTCTCTTTCTCCCACTCCCACTCCCAGGCCTGGGCAAGCAGAAGCTCAGCTGGGCAGCACCCAAGGCAGGAGCGAGGCTGTCCACATGGCCTGAGCCAGAGGACGGTGGAGAGGCCCTCTGTCAGAGGGGAGTTCAGTGGTACCTAATGAGCTGACGTCCTACTTACAGGGTTATAAAGTGTGAAGGCTAGAAAAGACCTCCGAAATATCTCGAGCCACGCTTGTTTTACAGAGGGAGAAAGCAAGCCCTATCTAATAAGCCTTAAGCTCCACTATGCCTGCATGATTCTGCTGTGAAGCACTTCATTTTAGTTCTCTCTGTGTGTCTCCCATTTGTTCCACATTGAGGGTTTTTTTTTCGCGGGTGGGGGGGTTGTTTGTTTGTTCTGCTGCCCAGACTGGAGTATAGTGGTGCAATCATGGCTCACTGCAACCTCCATCTCCCCGGTTTAAGCGGTTCTCACGCCTCAGCCTCCTGAGCAGCTGGCACCACTCTCTGCTAATTTTAATATTTTTAGTAGAGATGGGGTTTTGCCATGTTGCCCAGGCTGGTCTCGAATTCCTGACCTTACGAAATCCACCTGCCTCAGCCGCCCAAAGTGCTGGGATTACAGGTGTGAGCCACCGTGCCTGGCCCCACCTTCAGTTCTAATGTAGCTCCAAAGTGTCCTGGGCACACATCCTCAGGCCGCTGGTGGAGGTTTCACTCTCCAGGATAGGTAGGGGGACTGCTCGGCTCCCTTCCATCCTACCTTCTCCAGCCCTGCACTCCCAGCCCACGGCACCACCGTGGGAACAGCACCAATCACTGGAAGTCCTACTGGGTCCAGCTGCTGGGTTCCTGGGCAGTTTCCTACCCACTAGACAGAGGCCAGGGTATGCATACCACCTGCTGCTCCCCAGACATCCTGCCTTGGCCTCCATTTCCAGAATCAGCAGGGAATAGAACACAGAGATCAAAAGGCCTGAGTTCCTTCTAAGCCCAGGCCCAGGTCCTGCCCTGAAGAGCTGGTAGACTGATACAACCAGAGATGTACGAAGGGCAGAAGGGCCCTTACAGTGTATTCCTCGTGTTGCAGATGACGAAGCTGTGTCCAGGGGAGAAGGGTTTGCTCAGGGACACCCGGTGGTTAGAGGCAGGTTTCAGATAAGGTTTCCCAAATCCCATATAGTCAGCGTTGGTTCCATTCCACCACAGGGCTTCAGCTCTACGTTCTGAAAGCCGCGGATTAAGATCTAGTGGATCACTCCTGGCCCATTTAACATGCTCGGCAAACCCAACAAACACTCCTCACAGGCCCAGGGTGCACTCTCTTCCCCAGGACTCTCAGTGATGGCAGCTGGGGCCATCAGTGCACATTGGTCACACCTCTGCCACCAGAAGGAGGCTCCTCTCAGGTGAATCTGCTCCTTAGGAGCAGCTGCTACCCAAAGGATGGAGCAGAGACCCCTGGGCTCTGTGGTGCCTTACGTTGATCCATTCGTCTGCCTGAATCCAAAGAGCTTCTTAGAGCAGAAGGAGCCTAATGATAACTTGGCATTGCTGGAAGTTCCTCCGGCCTGATTCACAGGGGTAGAGTAAGTTAGAAGAAACCAGGCACTGCTCTTGCTGCTGGCATTGTGAGGAAAGGGAACGTGCGCTTGGGCTAGATGACATGGTAACTGGACTGGGAATAAAGAGGGCGCTCGAGTGAGTTCCCAGGGCCAGCATCCTGAGGCCATGGGCAGGGGAGGCTCTTTCTTGTTTTCTTCTCTGTTTGCTCCAAAACAGGTGCTAAGATGCTGAACCCTTGTGGCTCCAGCTAGAATGTGGGGGTGGGGGAAGGAGTTCTCGGACAGTCTGCAGAGGCAACCTTAGCATAGGATGCTTCACGGGCTGGAGATCTGGAGGTGGAGATCAGTGTGGCTGACATAGGAGAGGAGAGTTCTGTGGAGCCAAGGACACAGGAAACAGAACCCAAAGGGCCCAGAAAGGGAGGCGAGGCAGGTGCCACGACAAGCCATATCCTCTGTCAAAATGTCCATGAGATGGAGGGGCATCGTGAACGTCCTGATTTGACGTCGCGTGGGTGCCATTTATTAGCTCTGAGGATGGGGCAAGTCCTGATCCATGAGCAATACTGAGAGCAATGTTTGCCTTACAGGCTGCTGTCGCTCCACGGCTGGCATGAGGGGATGTGGATGAAAGGCTCTGGAAAGTGCGCAAGCAGTTCTGATTCTCATCATCCCATGCTACTGCCTATCAGCTCATCTGCAGTGTGTGGCATTAGGACCCTGATTCCTGAGTTGCTAGAGAATGGTATGTATCATAACGCTGTGTACACAAGTATTTTTGTCAGGAGTGACAGAAGCAAAGGGGCTTTCCTTCTAGAAGGGACTACCCAGGCCACACAAGCAGATGTCTATGAATCTATAATAGCATGCATCCATCCCCACAGGGTCTCTGCTCACAGAGAAGGCGCCTGAAACTAAGGCTTCCAGGATGCGTGTGTGCACACACGGGAGCACACATGGACACAGACGCACGCACCGTGGCCGTCCCTGGTGGCTTTGCCGTCAACTGTGCCTCTTCCTAGGTGCCGGCCTCCTCTGTTCTCAGTCTGTAAGCGAGTTCTTACATCTCTCTCAGACAGCGGCTGAATGAAGAACTGAAAGACATGTGGGGAGTGAAGGGACAGTTTGACATTCATTAGTTGTAGTTTTCTGGGAGAAGGAAGATACTACTCATGGTTTATGTTTGCAGTCGTGTTTTTACAGAGCACCATCACATGCATTATTATTTAAGCCACAAGCACCTTTATGCGATCATTGCTCTCATCAGGCTCAGAGAGGTGAAACAGCTTCTTGCCCATCATTCAGCTAATAGGTAACAAGATCCTTTGCTGCTTCTGAACTCTTGTTAACTTCTGACTCTTATCAAATGTCTCCCTCCAGGAGTCCAAAGGCACAGGTGTTTTGTATGCTGCAATGTTTCTTTCATTTGTTATTTTGAAATTATTTCAAATTGACAGAAAAGTTGCAAGAAGGATACAAAGAACCCCTACTCCTGCATCCCTTCCACCCAGTTCCTCAACTTTGTTTTTGTTTTTTGAGATGGGGTCTCACTCTGTTGCCCAGGCTGGAGTGTGGTGGTGCGATCTGGGCTCACTACAACCTCCACCTCCCAGGATCAAGCAATCCTCCCACCTCGCCTCCCAAGGAGCTGGGAATACAGGCATGTGCCATCATGCCAGGCTAATTTTTGTATTTTTTTGTACAGATAGGGGTTCACCATGTTGCCCAGCCTGGTCTCAAACTCCTGGACTCAAATGACCCACTGGCCTCAGCCTCCCAAAGTGCTGGATTACAGTTGTAAGCCATGGTGCCCGGCCTTCAATTTGTTTTACATGTGTTCTCTCTCTCTCTTTCTCTTATATATATATCCTATATATGTAATTTCTGATCCATTGGAGAGTACACTGCAGACATGATGCCCTATTACTCCTTAACACTTCAGTGTGTATGGACATTCTCCTACATACCAAAGTACGACATCCCAGTCAGAAAAGTATCACTGACACAGGACTTCTGGCTAATCCAGAGACCCCAGGCAAACATTGAAATTTCACTAATTCTTCTTCTTCTTCCTTTTTTTTTGAGACAGGGTCTTACTCTGTTGCCCATGCTGGAGCAGTGACATGATCACGGCTCACTACAGCCTCGACCTCCTGGGCCCAAGTGATCCTCCCACGTCAACCTCCTGAGTAGCTGTCACTACAGGTGCACACCACCACGCCTGGCTAGTTTTTTTATATTTTTTTTGTAGAGATGAAATCTCACTATGTTACCCAGACCAGTCTCAAACTCCTGGCCTCAAGTGATCCACCCACCTTGGCCTCCCAAAGTGCTGAGATTACAGGCATGAGCCACCACGCTGGGCTCACTGATTATTCTATTAACATTGTTTATAGGCCTAGACATTAATCCAGGATCACGTGTTCTATTTAGTTGTCATGTCTCTTTAGTTTTCTTCAGTTGGAACAGTTCTTATATTTCCTTGTCTTGAACTAAATATTTTTGAAGAATCCAGCCCTGTAACTTTGTAGAATGTCCCTCAATTGGGGTTTGGCTGATGTTCCTTATGAATAGTCTCTAGTTATGCGTTTTGTCAAGAATACTGCAGAAGTGAGGCCATGTTCTCAGTTCATCTCAACAAGAGTTACACAATGTTGAGTTGTCCTGTCCTGTTACTGGAGATGTTAACTTTTTTTTTTTGAGATGGAGTCTCACTCTGTCTCAGGCTGGAGTGCAGTAGCACAATCTTGGCTCACTGCAACCTTTGCCTCCCAGGTTCAAGCAATTCTCCTGCCTCAACCTCCCAAGTAGCTGGGACTATAGGCGCATACTACCATGCCCGGCTAATTTTTGTATTTTTAGTAGAGACGAGGTTTCACTATGTTGGCCAGGTTGGTCTTGAACTCCTGATCTCAGGTGATCTGCCCACCTTGGCCTCCCAAAGTGCTGGATTACAGAGGTAAGGCATCGTGCCTGGCCTGGAGATGTTAACTTTTATCACCTGGCTAAGATAATGTCAGCTAAGTTTTTCCACTGTAAAGTCAATTAATGGTATGTGTACTCATCAATCAAGTATTTGTGAGGGACATTGAGATTGTGTAAATGTCATGTTCCTCATCAGACTTTCACCCACTAGTTATAACATCTACTCATGACTCTTGCCTACGTCATTTATTACTATGATGGTTGCCAAATGGCAATTTTCTAAAGTCATCGTTTTTTCTATATACGTCATTGGCATTGTAACGTAAGGTAAAACCTTCTCTCTCCCCATTTATTTATTTATGTATATATTCATCTATTCCTATTGTACCATATTTTGGTTGTAACCTAATACCAAAATTATTTATTTTGATGCCAACATTGTCCCAGATTTGGCCTGTGCATGCTCCTTCAAGTTGGATTCCCCATCCTTTTCATGTGTTTCTGTCATTATTTGAGCATGTCCTTACTTTCTAGTGCAAGATATTCCTGGCTCATCTAGTAATTTCTAGGCTGAGCAGTCTTGGTGGAGATTTTTTTTTAATGGAAAATAGCATTTAGAAGCCAAAATCTGGGTACTTGGTGTGTTCACTGCCAGTGGGACATCATTGCTTCTAGTATCATTCAGAGAGGGCACACGAATGAGTTCCTTTATTTGTATACATGGGACTAGAAATAGATATGTATACACACACACACACACACACACACACACACACTCTCTCTCTCTCTCTCTCACATCATTTACATATATTAAAAACATGAATTCAAATTAATTACCCCAAATTCTGATTCAATACCACAGGGTTTATTCTCTTTCCACATACATAACTCCTGTCACTAGCCATGAGAAATATGGCTCCCATCATCCACAACCTAATATGTGTGTGCTCAGTTCCTCTGCTTGTAATCAATCCCCTAACCACATAGGTCACCCTCTCTGCCTCAGACTCACCACACATGCTGGTTGAACCAGCCAAATCCTGGCCCCAGCCTCACTGACCATGCCATCTGTGCTGGTCGAGTCCTTAATCCAGATCAAAGGGAAGGGGAGAGAAAGGACATATTACATAATTTTTTAAGGATTTAATTTATTGCAGAGTATTTATTCACACACTGATTTCAACTCCAACTGTCATTTAGACACTTGTCATATAACCCAAACATATTTGTTTCAATAACAGAGCATTTAGTGTTTCTAATAGAGTAAGAGAGCCAGTATTTATGAATTTAATTCTAGATTAATCTAAGAAACACATTGTGTGTGTGTGTGTGTGTGTGTGTCTCTTCATTATAAATTTTTTGAGCTCTCTCAAAATCTGTTTCCCTAACTTATATTCATGCTAACTTAGAATGATGAAGTAGAGGTCCTTTGCCCTGTGGATAAGTTTAGGAACAAAAACTTCAAATAATATGTGTCACAGACAGATGGATTGTTTTTTATAAAACCATTTCCTTTTACCTCCTGGGTGCATAGCCTGACTAAATTTCCTACCTCTTTTGGAGTCAGGTGTGGTCCTATGACAGAGTTCCGGCCAGTGGAATACGGCAGAAATGATGAATGCCACTTCCAGAGCTGGTTCATAAAACCTTCCATGCAATCTCGCATGCTTCCTGTCTCTACCCCATCTGCTAACTGGAAACAAGGAATACAGAATTCTCCAGTAGAGGATTCCAAAACCTGTAACAGTGACCAGAGCCACAAGGTGGATAGCTCTGGACCTCTGAATCATCCGGTGGGAGGCCATCAAGTGAACGCCTGCATTAAACTGTTTTGTGAGGGAGACGTTAACTTCCACTGAGGTGAGTCAGAGACTTGGGGGGTTATTCATCACATCATTCAGCTCACCCTAACCAATGCAAAAAGTCAATGAATTGTCTAAGATTACCCTTTGGAAGCTACAAAGCATAATGTTGAATGTGCCCTTCTGATTCTTACATGAGATCTCCTTCCATCAGATCAGACCGTGAACTTAGTAGCACGAACTTGGTTCTTTGGGAGGCTGTCACCCTATCTTTCCACAAGCAATATTTTCCTCTTTGGCCCAAGTATAATATTAGCCCTATATTTTCTCCCTTTCCCTTTCCTAAGGGAACTATGAAGGTTTGCTTTTTCATGGATTCATCTTTATCAGATGAGAACATCTGTTTGGTCTAACATCTGACCTCCAGCAGCAGGCGGCTAACCCACCCTGTAGAGATGAGTCTCACCAGCAAAAGGAGACAGCCCTTCAATTTCCTACACGTGGACTCTGCAATTGACATGCAGGTGATGGCAGGGCCCACAGTCTGTGGATGGGCCAAAATGCCTAGGAGGCAAGTAGATTTCTTCCTCTACACCCAGTAGACCAGCAACAGTTACTACTTCTGGGAAAAGACACCTCCACATCTTATCTTTTCAGAGGCTAATAACTGCTTGTTCAGTAATTTAACACAGCCCAGGCTGCTGGAAACTAACATCTTCCTGAAGAGGATGTCCTTCACCCTTCTCATTCCAGGCAAGACAAGTTTTCAAGACCAAGAGAGTAGCAAAGTCAGGTAAAGTGGGAGGAAAGATGGGAAACAATGCAATAGTATGTGGGAAAGGAAAACCTGAAGGTGTGGCCACAAGAGGTATCAGACGCTTTCCAAGCCTGGGACTCCAAGAGAACACTACAGTCCAGTTTCAGAGCTAGTCACAAAGCTGACTCTAGAGCTGGTTTTAGAGCTGGGCAAAGCTCCAAGGTCATGCTGCCTAACTCTCATTTCATAAGGAAGGAATGGAGGACCTGAGTGACTAAGGACTATGCCCAAAGTCACAGAGGTGGTCACGGTAGGGCGAAAGTCCTGGACCCGTGCGCTCCAGTGCTCTTTGTACTTTCTACTCTTGCTTGCAGGTCTGATGGGAAGCACTCAGTTCAAGGAGTTGGAGTAACAGATGTAATTAGGAAACTCAGTGCTGGAGTATGTGGTCCCTGAGGATTCATCTCTCCATGCCCTGGGCCAAGCCCTGTCCTCTCTGAAAGCCTTTCCCTGTTTCTCTGAGAAGCC